CATGGCGGTGTAAGAAAGTAATTACTTATTAGGTCTAAGAATCTAGAAATCAGGTGGCCAATGAACCACGGCATTTCGGTTAATGGGACTTTTGCTGCCATGCATTGACCACGCAATTAGTTGGTTAAGTTAGTTTCGATTCTCTATGCCCTTTTTTTTGTCGAATTTTAATTTTCATTAAAATAAAAAAAAAAACGAAACTTTACACCGCAATTTTACCCTATATCTATTCTAGGTTCTTCGAGGAGGATCTACACTAGTTCCCATGGGGGCATTAACTGTCAGTTAGGAGGCAGTGTGCCTTGCCTAGAGCGCATGGCCGGAGTATGAGTCGCAGAGTTGCAGGATTTCTTTGTGTGTTTGAAAATGATTTTAGCTATACCTTTTTGTAAGGGGTAAAAATTATTACGGATCTCATCTCCACTTAAAGGATTCTGACTGACCTGATCAGGTCGTTAGTGGGTACCTCCTCCATAGAAAATGTTCACTTATATGACGGGGAGAAACGACTCTCTTTCGATGTGGGATTGCCTTAAGAAAGGGTTTTATTGACGAAGAGAGGTAAAGGCTACTGGGGCTCGGTGCCGCCAAGTCAATCGAAATTCTTCAAGTGGAGGGATGAGATCCGTAGCGATTTTTACCCCTTATATTTTTACATAATTTTATATATCTTGTTGAATGGTTTCAATTTTTCTTGTGCTTCTTGTTGGTCCTTGGTTGAGGGAATGAATCAAGGCCTTCGACTCAGATTCGATGATAACTTCTCTATGACCTTCATCGAGTGCTATTGAACAAGCTCTATGCTCAGCACAAGTTTCAGTTGCCAAAGCTGAGGAGACTGTTATCCTCGCCGCAACTCCAGTTACAAGCAATCCTTCATGATTGCATGCCACTAATGCATAGGCTGCCCTATTGCACTTTTCGCCAAATGCTCCATCACAGTAAATCTTTATCCAGCCAATTGGAGGTTGTGACCATTCAGTTTCGATTAAATTTGGATTGCCTTGGGCAAGAACTTCATGTTCTATTTTGTCCATCTCTAAAAATGCTTCCATTGCCAGAGAGATAACTCTGTTATCACTTGACTGTTTGTACTGATAAATCCACTCATTGCGTGATTTTCATATGAACTAGCATAAGAGAGCAATTAAGGACTGCATTGGTTGTTTAAGGTCCCAAGTCTCTGTCCTTTCTTTCAATCGCTCCATTAGCCAATTCTTTGTTCTTGAAGTCCACATCTATCAATGATGAGCCCAACCTCTACGGGTCTTGCAAGTCTCTATGAGTCTGTTTGTTTAGTAGAAGAATTGTAAAAAATGTAATAAAGAGAAAAAAAATTATGTTTTTGGTTAGCACAAAATGAAAAATAATAGAAAAATAATTTTCTTTCATTCTTGAATTTTCTAACAATTAACCAACTTTTTTTATTATAAAAAATACAAAAAAATGTAAGAAAGTTGTGATCTATAACTAACTTTCTATTTTACCCTTATTTTTCTTAAAATATTTTATTAATTATTAATTTAAAAAAATATTGGCATTGATTTAATTAACCATATAGTTTGGTCCAAAGACTTTCCTGTTAGTACTTGTCTTAAAATTAGATTACAAGCTACTTTTTTTTTTAACTTTTTTAACTTTCAATTATAATATCAATTTAATATAATTATGGGTAAATTAGACAATTAGAAAAAAAATTGTAATCTTTATTTCTTTCAAACAATAGAATGAAATTTTTTTAAAACTTTCTCGCAAGATTTTTATCTTAACTAAATACATGCATGAAAATATATTTTCTATCATTTTATTTTCTTTCACTTCACTTTTTTTTCATTTTCACTTTCCATCATTCTTTTCTTTCTAATCAAATGGACCCTATAGTTAAGATTTTTTAAGGTGCAATCATATTTTAACAACTATAGAAGACTCTAGTCATTATAATTTTATACTAGCACGTCGAAAAATTGTTTTCAATACTTGAATTGCGAGACCCCTAACATGATCATTACGGTTTATGACATGAATTAGGAGTAATTCGTACCTGAATGTATTGTACAATGTGAATTATTTTGAGAGAAATATTAGTAACCATTGTCTGAGTATATTTGAAACTGTCAAATTAACTTATTGAAGTTTGTCCCATCTTATATTATAAATGTACTTCTCTCTTTGTTTTAAGTGGTGTGTGATAATATTTGCACCTCTCTGTTAGATTGCTTCTTTGCTATTGTCATCTACAAGATTGTTGCCTCAAGTGACACTTGACCTATATCTTTAAGGCATGGTCTTTTCTTCAAATTAAAATGTGTTTTTTCCATGAATGCCTAAGAGGGTTCACTGGAGTACCCCCAATAAATAAATAAAAAACTAGCTATGGTGGCTTATATTTTGGATGGTCCATGTGTTTGGAAGGTTGGTGTAGCTTTTGTTATTCACAAATTCAAATAAACTCAATGAATATCTTCTTGTCTGCCACTTTCATCTTGTCGAATGCTCATGTGTGTAATTAATATGTATTTCGAATTAATTCAAGGTTCTCTAAGGCTAGTTTAAGGCTTTCATAGTGTCCTCTAAATGGTGCCCCAATCCCAGATTCCAGGGAACATAACACTCAGCATGTTTAAACTATTTGTTACTGCATTATTGTCATCTAAACTTGGTTCAATAATGTCTTAGTGGTTGACGCTTAACTATAATGTCATAACCTATCAAAAAATATTATTTGAACTTAATTTATGAACCATCATGTCAGGATTAACAATAAAGCATCATGTCAGGATTAACAATAAGACTTTTTATCTCCGATTCATAATTAGAACATGCAACTAATAATGAAGAAAAATATATATAATAAGATGGAAGATCTGGTCAGCGAACTCCTCTCTAACTCGGAGAATAATAGTGTGTTTCATTTAACATTGAAACTCACACGTAATTCAATAATTACATTGAATTAGGTCTCAAAAGCAAATACCTATAACATTGCTCTAACCTACCTAGTACGAGATAATTAACAGATTCAGCTGGCCTATAAAGATAAAAACATTGACAACCAACTAAAACTAACCGGACATGAGGCTTTTTCATGCTAGAATGAAATGCTGAGATTGATATATCTCACTCAACATATGCAAATATATGTTGGGCTGAAAATGACTCGCATTGTATCAATATTTGTTTAGCTTATATCTAATTTATTTATCGTGTATAACCGAGTTTTGTGTCAAAACGAATATACTCATCAGACGCATTTAATAAATAAATAGCAGGACAAACTTTGCTAAACTCATATTTATAATATTTCATGACACTGTTGTATTGAGTTGATGAGTCAAGTTAAATAATTTTGGTTGAAAGATTAGTAAATGGAATAGTGGAGATCTAATTAACCCGCTTTAGGACATGAATATATACCCTAGTTCTGGTGTGGATGATTTGCTTTTGACTAGGCCACGAAAGGGATTAATTGAGGTGCGCGTTAACTGACTCAAACATCCTTGATTGTTGAACCAAAACACAAAAAAAAAATGCAAGTTGCATTGAAGATATTATTAAACATATTGTGAGCAAAATAAAGATTAAAGAAGAAAGCTTCTCCACACTTTTTACCTTACGTCATAAATCTGATTTTTCATCGGACCGGGGAGAGATTAGTCGAGTTGGGGCTAAGTTGGCCTCGACACCCCCTCATCGTAATATCCCAAAAAAAAAAAAAGAAATCTGATTTTATATGGAGCAGTATTAAAGATGTATAGGCAGAAGTAGCATTGAAGATTCATTAATTGAAGTCATCTTAATTGTAGAATAATCATAACAACAACAAAGAAGACAGTTTCTGAGCTCTGTTGATCATAACATGGACAGACTATATAGATAGTCGGCACAAAGTTGATTTCTCATACAGATCATTCATAAACTTCCCAAAAACAGCATTATAGATCGACATATTCTGCTAGTATTTGGTACACAAACTTAAATACTTAAAATTTTTTCCATTCTTATTCAACATTTTTTTTTGGTCATACGGGGTTGCTTATCGTTTATGTGAAATTATTGATCGAGTATGAAAAATTTTATATTGCTTCCGTCTAATACTAGATCTAAGAAAAAAAAATTAATTCTTCTTCAATAAGGCCTAATGGTGGCTGGCTAGGGAAGATACTTGTAATTCCCGCACCTAACTTTTTATTCCTCAATCCTGACGGAACAGATAAAAGGATATGGTAAATTGTGAAAGAAAGAGGATCAGATCACTTTCGGTCATTGATTATGGATCCTGAGATCTATCCAGCCCAAAAGCAGATCCAAGTCCGAACTGTGACGCGGCCCATTACGCAAATTTGAAGAGATTTCGAGATGTTCAATGGGTGAAACAGTTATGTTTCCTTTTTATTCTGGCTAATTGTCGACCAGAGTAAGTTCAAAATTCAAATGGGAAGACTTGGTTCAGTACACCTAACAACATGTGTGTGTGTGTAGGGGGAGAGAGATAATGTAATGGTGCTGGAGCACCGCTATTCCACCCAAATTATAATCCAAATCTCATATTCCAAATAAAGTCTCCCGGCAAACAAACAGGGTGGAAAATTATGTATACCTAATCCTCCTTTTTTTTTTTTTTTTAACTATATTTTATATTAATTTTGCAATAATATAATAGTTGGTTGAAAAATACAAATATGTTATTCAAAAAATTAAATAGTGTTATTGAATTTTTAAATATAGTATATAACGAAACGCCGCCGCATTCGGTGGGAGCTGTTACTCTCTCGGAACGACAATGGCGGTGGTCAACATGCCCAGTCCCCAACTGGAACTAGTTATTCTACCTTTTCTTTTACAGTTACTCTGCTTCCCTATTTTCCTCTCAGTTCCCTCAAATCTCTCTCTCTCTCTCTCTCCACAAAAGAACAAGAGAAAAAACCCAAAATAAGCCGTCGAGATATACCTCAATCTCCACTGAACAAAGATAAGAAAATAGAAATCAAAAGTTCAAAACCAGTCACACCCCCCACAAAAAATCCAAAGACACACACAGTAATGGTAAAAAATCACCCTTTATTCCCCACTTCTTTCTCTCTCATTCTTCTTTTTCTCTCAACCACCCTTCTCATTCCCCGACCATAACGTCGCTATTTAGTATTCACCGCCATGTCACCACTCAAATCTTCAATTCTCGCCAAACCCATCACCATCACCGCCGCCACCCTGTTCTTCCTCCTCCTCACCACCACCACCACTACAGCCCAAGATTTCGATCTTGAATCCGAATGCACCAACAAATGGATCTACATCCGCCCCCTTCCACCCCAATTCAACGTCGACCCTTTATCCAACTGCTCAGAATACCCAATTTTCGACAACTTCTGCCCCTACGTTTCCAACCACGGACTCGGCCAAAAAACCCACAACAAATCTCACAGCTGGTACCGCACCGACCCTTTTATGCTCGAACTCGTCTTCCACCGTCGAATGCTCGAATACCCATGTCTAACCTTCGATCCCAATTCGGCCAACGCCATCTACATTCCTTACTATGCCGGCATAGATAGCCTTCGATACCTCTATGGACCTGAAGTCAATTCAAGTTTCGAACACGGGCTTGATTTATTTCAATATTTGTATCATTCCGATTCCCCGGAAATATGGAGGAAAAATTCCGGCCATGACCATTTTTTGGTGATGGCACGTCCAGCTTGGGACTTTAGCCAACCTTTATCTAATGATCCACCAATTTGGGGCACTTCATTTCTTGAATTGCCGGAGTTCTATAATGTTACTGCATTAACATTGGAAGCAAGAGCTTATCCATGGCAAGAACATGCAATTCCGTATCCAACTTCATTTCATCCTCCGAATATGGCTCTTTTTGAATCATGGGTGAGTAGGGTGAGGAGGTCTAGGCGCACTACATTGATGTTGTTTGCTGGTGGGGGTGGAATTTCGGCTAATCCGAACATAAGGAGAAGTATAAGATTAGAATGTGAGAATAGTACTAGCACGGATGTTAATGGTTGTGGGTATTCGGAATTGTGTGAGTTTGTGGATTGTTCTAATGGGGTATGTGAGCATGATCCAATTAGGTTCATGAGGCCAATGTTGCAGGCTAGTTTTTGTTTGCAGCCACCGGGGGATACACCGACTAGGCGTTCCACGTTTGATTCGATTCTTGCTGGATGTATACCAGTTTTCTTCGAGGAATTGTCAGCAAAAAAGCAGTATGGGTGGCATCTGCCAGAGGAGAAATATGAGGAGTTTTCGGTGTTTATTCCCAAAGAGGATGTGGTGTTTAAAGGGGTTAGCATTGTGGATGTGTTGATGAATATCCCAAGAGCTGAAGTTAGGAGGATGAGAGAGAAGGTTTTAGAGATGATGCCTAGAGTTATGTATAGAAAACATGGAAGTTCACTGGGTTTGAGTGCCAAAAAGGATGCATTTGATCTTGCAATAGAGGGTGTTCTAAAGAGGATCAGCTCTAGACTTAAAGAAGTTGCAGCTCAATAACTACTTGCATCCTTTTATCCTCCTTGTAGTAGTGATTACTTTTTACCCTTCTTTTCAGTATTTATTCATCAAGGATGCATAGAGATATTTTGAATCCACATTCCCTCTAGCAATAAATTATCTAAATATGGCAGTTTTGATGTGTTTTTGTCAGTTTTATATTAACTGTTCCATTGTTTATCGCCATTGGTATACGATACTTTTTATCAGGGTGTTGAAAGTTACTACAAAATAAACAGATTACAATGACCCTAACAACTTAGGATCAATCCCCATTTTTTAAGATTTAATTTAACCACATTGGGCTGTAATTGACATTTTTGAATAATTACTTGACAAATGAGCTATAATTACCCCTTATTTATGTGTAAATTTCATTATGGTTTCGATCCCGATACTGTAATCTGATCCATTGGTCATAGGATCCTGAGTCGTGACACAGGTAGGCAACACCCATTCAACACAACAATGCAAATAAGGGTGACACCCCGCACAATCATTGGTCTAAGTTGTGATTTAATGGAATGTAAATGCAAATGGTGCTGAATACAAAAAGTAGATTACAATAGAATTTATTACTGAAGAAAAAGAATAAAATTTTATTGAAGTTTCAAATTTTAACAATAACAATCTCAATAAACAAAAGGAAATTGAAGAAAACTATGCGATTGCAACCTCAAAATAACTGCATGACTCCTGAAATTAGAAGCAAGACAGAGAAAACAGCAGGATATAGGGATTCCTCTTCATTTTTCTGTACCTGATCATCGGGTACTATGGTTGTTTCATCCCCATCTAATGATAGCAGAACCCCATGTAAGACCAGCTCCAAAACCTGCAGCTGCTATAGTATGGCCTGACTGAACTTTCCCACTGCGGACAGCTTCATCCAATGCCAACGGAATGGATGCAGCACTTGTATTCCCATAATTTGCCAGATTAGAGATTACACGTTCTGATGGGACTTCTAAACGTGTTGCCACCGCATCAATGATCCTCTGATTGGCCTGCATATAACCAATTCCTTTCAGGTATTAGTGTAACATGTTCATATGAGAGATTTTAGGGGTCATTACGCATAGTGTGGTGAAGAATTCTTTAAGGGTGGCTAAGGAAACAATGCATGAGTCCTTGTGACACTTATATTAGAAACACATTGAAAGTAGTTTTCATAATAAATGTAAGGATGCTAATGGCATTATAACCGCATCAAAATGTTCAAAGGAAAACAAAAGGCAGCAGTAGTAGGAAAAAAGAGATCGGTGAGTACAGATAACATTCGATTGAGAGTGGATTTCACTTCAGAATCTGTCTGTATGTGTAATAAATGTAATGTAAGTCAGAACAAAGTTTTATCACTTTTGTAGATTTTGTCTCATACCTGATGGAGCAGTAACCAATCGATGTTAGATCCAGTTAGACCAGCCTTTTCTAGTGCAGCCTCAATCGACTGAGGCACAGCACGAACAGCAAAACGAAAGACCTCTTTACCATTCATCTGGATGCAGGAATAAGAGGCGCGCCTTGGAGGGAAGCCAAAGACTGAACCATTAGAACCCGTCGCACTATCCATTTCATCCTCCTTGACGGCAGCATTTAAGTGCCTACAAAAAAAGGTAGTTTTTGTCTCATTGACGTGAAAAATAACCCATAGAACCATTTTCTCAAGATCATTATGCATACCTCTGGCCATCACCATCACTATGCAAGTCAAAACCAAACAAACCATCCTCTTCACTATCACACGCCTGCACAATAGCTTTAATATCAACTATCTACATAACCACTACTTCCTAGCAACAAGAAGTGGTGTAGTTGACAAAAGTTAGGGCCGAGGGGGTATAGAAGGTAGATTAGTTAAACTATCTAGTTATTAAGATAAGTGAGATTCATCCAATGGATGCTCTAGTGTGGTTTCCGAGTATAGGAAATTAACTTATAGAACAATACAAAGAATCAGCAGACAGCTTTTAAAGTGCTTATCCATTCTCAGTTTAGTCAAATATCCACTCGGACAAGTGGACAATGACTCTGTGGACTAGTTATGAATGCCGTGGCTCAAGGACGTGGTATCAGCCATCAACTTGGAGAGCTCTGAGATATATCAGTCGCGGGGTCACCGCACGGTATCGAGTGATACGACTTAAATGAAAATGTTGAATATAACAAGATATTCAGGTCATACCGCTGTATCGTAAAATTGTATCAGCAGATTCGGTGACAATAACTCAACATCTCAAAGATCGACTCAGATACAGTACAAGATTCGGAGTTTATACGTATCATGTAATGGTATCATCCCGGAAGGTGCCGAGTCGGATACAACTCAGCCAACTCATATCAGTATCGGCCGATACTTTGAACCATGATAAATGTTGTCCAAAAATGTTGTTCATCTCTTCGGGGTGGAAAAAATGCATACATTGCTATCACAGCATTTTTACCCCTAAAGGTGCTGTCATGGCATTTTTTAGAACAAAGAAATTACTAGTATATGTATAATTTGTCAAATGCTAACATATGCTTCTGAAAATCAAGTTTATACCCAGGACTAACGACGGCATCCATGAATCAAGATATCCAAATTCTGAAAATCAAGTTATATGCCCAGGACTAATGATGCATCTGAAAATCAACATATGCTACTTACAACATGCGAAAGTACGATAACGACCAAGTTAGAGTACTACTTAGCTGAAGGGGCACACAAACACCAACTCACAAGCATTATCCAAATGAATACCCTAACGCCCTTATTTAGAGAACTGGACACCAATAAATATGACTAAGTGATATTTCCAATGACAGAGATATGATCTCCTTCCCAGACAGCACAATTGAATGACCAAATAACAACTATACCTGTACAAGTACAGCACCAGCAGCATCACCAAAGAGAATACAGGTCCCTCTATCCGTCCAATCAACATAACGAGAAAGAGCATCAGCCCCAATCACAAGAACATTATTAAACCCGCCTCCTGCAATTTACAATAGCAGGGTTCAATTTTTATGACACTCGAAACAAATGCTATTTATTTGAAAATAAGCAACTCCGAAACCAGTAAAAAAATCTAATTGCAGCAAAGTAAAGGAATTTTTACCTTTAATATAGCAAGAAGCTGACACTAGGCCTAGCACAAACCCACTACAAGCAGCTGTAATATCATAAGCCAATGGATTTTTTTTGCAGCCCAGTGCCTTTTGTATCTGATAAATGTCAAGAAATATCAGGGAGGTGAACTATAAAGTAATTCAATTGATACATGTAGAACATGAATTACTTTAATAAGTCAGTAGTACTTTATACTAATTGGTAAAGGATTCAACGGATACATGAAGTATTGTTTACAAGATAACTCGATCAGTTCAGTGTTATAAACACCCAAACCTCAGTCAAGAATCAGTCACCAACTGTATGCTCATATGATTATCAGTGCAAAGGCAAAACTACAAGCTGGTAAATAATGGCACAAAACCACAGCACATTCTCAAAGTAATAGCACAGCTAACTACAGTGTCTAAGCGCTGCTTTTACAAGGGAAAAATCTACATCTCGTAAAAGCAAAGCCAAAGTGTTTTAAACATATGTTCCGAGAAGAAATCATAGTCACAGCTCATATGGCTATGAAAGTTGCTGAGAATTCCAAATCCAGTGAGTATGGAAACTGAAATCAACTTTTTGAACATCCAAAGTCAAACAAGACAGCCAACTTGGTAATTGATCCAGATTTATCAGTCAACTCCCCAAGAATACAATATCAACTGCAACGCTCATTGTAGTACTCCAACAGTGTATACTTTTTCCTTTGAAGACGTGAAATATATGGTGCCCAATGCATCGACCTTCTTGCTAGTGCAATTTCAAGAAACCAGGTGTTCTTCAGAAAATTTATTGATGAATCCCATGCATCCTCAAACCATGCAGGAGACAAAATATTATTCCCATGATTACTTGGAAATTGTCAATAAACATATCTATGAGAGAATGCACGGACGCATTAATATATTGCTATTCTTTTTCATTTGTAATGACTGGATATATAAAAAACACACATACAAGCAGTTTATAAAAATTTATCTTCACAAGATATACTCACACACACGCCATGTTATAGTCTTGCGCCTATGAAAAGGTTACTGATTAACCATCAAAATTGCTATTTTATTATATTTAATGATTGGTTAATTGCATATTATTTATGATTAAATATGTTAAATTTCTTGATTTTTTAATTTGATACTTTTTCTAATTGTTTGGTTTATTTTGCATGTAAATTCTTTGATTTAAAGTAATAACGAATAATGCAAGTGAAAAAATCACTAGAGGAAGAATCATAATTGATACGGATTGAAAAGTCAAGATTGAAATAGGAAGACTTGAAGACATGACAGCAATTTAATCCTTATAAGAGTCCAAGTTAGAAAAAAACTTATTTAGAGTTGGATTAGGAAAATATCCTAGAAGATAAGGATTTGACACATCTTTAGTATTTTGGTCATAACGTTTGACTCTGATATCCGATTTACTTGATTTTTGGGGGTTGAAAAGAAGACTTCAAGGACTACAAAAATATATTTCACAAAAATTTCGTGATTCAACCTCTAAATATGCAAAATCCAAGATCAAAGTCTGGACAGATTTTGTACCCGCGCCCCAAAGATTTTATCAACGGGATTTAACCTTACAAGATTTCTTTTTGGGAAAGGAATTCCTTCAAAGCCAACCTTATATCTTCTACCTATATTTAGGATTTATTTTTAGTATAAATAGGGGTTTTCATTTAAAGATTATTATTCTTTTTCCCATCTTTTTATTTTTTATTTTAGTTCGTCATGTCTAGCTAGAAGACTAAACTAGAGCTAGGGGAGAACCTTTCAATGAAGTACGGTAATGATATTAATTTTGATTTGAATGATTTATATTATTTTGTTAATTTAACTTCTGATCTGTTAGTAAAATTTTTACTCTGTAAAAATTCTTAAATTGTTGTGTCATGTACATCGATTGCTTGAATTTCTCTACGAGTAAATAACTGGTTATTCTACGCTTGAGGTTATTATCATTATTTCATAAAATAATACAATTGGATGATTATTCAGGTTCCTGAATAATCTTTTGATTATAACTTTTGGATTTCTTACTTGATTTGTTACTTGAATTAACCGACATCTGATTCTTGTCTGAAGTTAAGATTTGAATTTTAATCATTATTGTATGAAATTGAGAGAGAGTATCTGATGTTCTAGTATTTTCAGTTATTTTTTTAAAAACCAAATTTATTGTTTTCTAAATTTTAAAATATCTACAACAATATTTTTTCAGAACAATTTTCTTTTATTTTTCTTTGTGTTCTAAGTTTTTCTCAATTCCTTGAGGGTTCGACCTCGGTCTTCCAAGAATATATTACTTCGCTCAACCTGCGTTTGAATTTACAATATTAAAGTTGAAGCGGTTACATTGATTACAATACACGGAACATCTTGTTCATATATGATTGAATACATTCATGTAGCTCATTGTCAAGATTTTTTAACTACCATGTTTGTGAATTCAAATTCGTTTGGGATAACATCATCCTATGCCTATACCTGAGGAGCGCTGCCAAATAGATCCTCTGGAGTCGATGTGCACAATAAAACTAGATCCACATCATCAGGATCTACTTCTGCCATCTGAAGAGATTTCTTTGCTGCCTCCACAGCCAGATCCATCAAGCTATCTTTCCCTGTAAAACAATACATCAGAACAACGCCATCCAGTTTTGGAATGAAATATGCCCTTGGAAAGGAAACATCTGATAGCAAGTTTTGAAGGCCCAAATGTCCGGTTATGAATGTAATAGAAGCCACAAAGGATGATTCTGTCATTTATGATTACACACTAGAATTTGTTAAAACGCAATAAGAAAGCGAGGAATCTGCGGAACTAGCTTAACCTAAGGCTCAAGCACAAAAGTGTTGGCATGGGTTTTGGCCAGGTCAGCCCATCAAAGCTGGGAAGCTTCAGGTCACACAAAATTTAACAAGTAGATTATTGTGGTTCAGGCTAAAAACTTATCAGCTACCAGATTACCAAGTCTGCAAATATCGAAGTCCAAACCAGAAAAGTGGCCACCTACATGTACAATTGTACCCAAGCTAACCAAGCAAGTCCACCCACACAAGGTTAAATTTCATCTAAATATAAGCACTTTCCTTCATCTAACACTCACTTTATTTTACCTCTTTGCTTGAAACCAAGCGCACGATGAGTTAATAACAAGCAAAGCTACCTCAAATAGTACACCACCAGATTGATACTCAAGCATGCACTGCAAGGAAAATTGACCTGTAAGAACTCGTCGATTGCGAATTCCAGTGCGAACAGATATCCATTCATCAGAAGTTTCAACAACTTTTGCAAGATCATCATTGGAAACCTGGAGATTTGGTACAGCCGAGCCACAACCAACTAGTTTGCAGCCTTTACTTACGAGCCTGTAAAGATTCATTTTTGAAAATAGAATGGAAATAAATCTTTCAGATATCAAATTAAATTCTCATATGATGTGAATTCTCTTGAACCAAAAAAGAATCAAATTACCATGCCAATTTGCCATGCTACATTCATAATTAAAGTACACGAGTTTTTAAAAATAAATAATGGACAAAGTAGCAAACAACCGCAAAATAATAAATAAGATGTTATGCAGGAAGATAAAATATGAAATGCCTCTAAATGAAACTTATAAAAGTGGACCTGAAAAACAAACCTTTAACAAGGTATCAGAGCTCAAACAAGCTGCTCCAGAACAAAAATACCATTGTATTCACACATGCATATGTTGAAATATTCCTATATGTATAGATAATTCGATATCTGAAACATGTATATGGATCATAAAATTGCGAGTATAAAATATGCAATTACACCAAACCGCAAGCTTTAATCTTTGTATTAGCCAAAAATAAAGCCAAACCAGGAATGAATCTAGCTCAGTGATTGGTGTAAAACCACACATACAAGACCGGAAACCTAAAATGCTACTCTTAGTAGGTACGAATGAAATTAAAGAAACAAATTCTGTTGAGAAGTATGCACCTAAAATGCCAACAACAGAGATGCAAACCATTGACACATCATATCTATGAAAGGAGCCAATTACTGATCTTCAGGAAGAATAAAATCATGCATAACAGGAGAATCTAAGCAAGGTGCATAAGCTTCCTTAACTCCCAATAATAGTAAAAACAATACCAAATGATCTAAACATCAAACGCGTCAATCTGTCAGTAAGAATCCAATCCTTCAGAGGTCCATCTGTTCCATTCTTCCCCCTCTACACAACATAACACACGACTGGCTTCTTCCCAATCCTTTTCATCTTTTTTCAGCACACCCCCCTTTTTGACACCTAACACCTCTTTGACAACCTGGGCATGAGTCGCATGACCCCAAGCAAATCCTAACACAAACAGAATAAGGAACCATAGTCCCCAAAAGATCCCACAATTAAGAAGAGGTACTTTGCAGTCTCCTCCACCCCTTCGCATATATAACATCTTCTCCACCCCTTTGCCCATACAACATCAAATACCAGAATATCATCCCCTTGTTTTTTCAATTTAGCAACCATAATAGCCAATTTTAGGGCAGCCAAAAAAGGAGAATGACCACTTTACAATGGACCTTCACACAACAGTAACCAAATCATTTCCTTGCATATTTTTAGTGTCATTTGTGCTCTCTCTTTTGTCCTTCTCTCTCCACAGTATTCAAGTACCTATATTCACCGGCAATTTCAATGTATCCTTTGCTGTCAAAAGTTCAAACCGATGGTCTAGACAAATTGCCTTTTTCTCAAATTACAAAAAGCAAGTGTTTTACTTGAGAGCTATGCAACTAGTATGTCCACATAACTACGTTCCTAACATGAATACAGTGAGCTCTATCTATATGATTCCCCCAACTATGCAAGCCAGCATAATAAATTAGCATTCCACTATGGCAAAGACAAACTTCATGAGTCAACTTCCACTAGAGATGGACTCTAAAATGTCGTGTATGAATCATTTTGGTACTCGGTGCTCATGCAAGAGCAGGAAACACTATTCCTATAATTCTTTTTGCAACTTAGATGCTTAATCAGAGTGATATAGGGTTAACTAGCTGAAAAGGGCTCCAATGCAATCATAACTCGCAAAACAAACACCATCCCATTAGTCCAAATATCCTAGAAGGACTCAACATCGTAAATTTGCAATAAAATCGCCCCAATCAAAGTGCACCCAATTGAACAAATTTCAAAATATTTTCCAAGAGATGGAACAATTTTCATTTCAGCAGACACGGCTATCAAATTCAAATCCAATTGCATAAAAAACCCATTAACAAGATATCCTAAACTACCAGTATAGCTAAAGAAAACCCTTAGTTATCGACTAAAAGAAGAAAATGAGGAAATCACATAAAAGAACATACCTGGGTGCTCGAGATTCAAAAGTCGAAAGTTTCTCCGCACCTTCAATGGTGCTGGAGCAGAGTACCCTTTTAAAGATTCCCTCAGAGGAACAATTCCCCGATCGATATATGCCGATAGATGATGGATTAATCCTCTTTCTAAGACTTGGGACTGTAGGCGTAAAGAACCCAGATGCATTCGCCATTATAGAAAGAGAACGAAATTAAATATAGAGAAAACCTGAATAAAGAGAAAGAAGGAGAGAAGGTAGGATCTTTTAGCTTATTGATGAAATAAGAAGAATGTGAGAAGCGAATATAGAGCCCATGACAACTCAGCACATGTGCAGGTAGAGAAGCAATTAACAAAACAATAAATCAGAGGAAGAACTACAGAAAACACCGGCTAGTAGGCTTTTCACAGGCTGCGGAGGGTCCAAGATGAAAGCAATGGGCGATTATGCCAACCCAAATAGAGGAAACCCCAATGCAATTATGCATGCAGACACCTCTCTCACTCTCTATCTCTCTAGTTCAATGTGGTACTTCCTATGTGCTAAGTTGGTAACCAGGAGATTCACTTATGCACAGCTTCCCCATTTCCAAGGTTTGATTTTTGATACAAACTAAACCGTGTGCTTGTAGGGTGTGATGTATTGTTAGGGGGTGATGTATTCCATTGCGTTGAAATGACAAAATTTGCCCTCCATTGTGTTATGTGGTCGAAGGTCATTGGTAGATTTGAGGAGTACACTTAGGTATGTGAGTGTAGAGCAAAAGAACAAGAGTCCCCCAACAGAAAATCAAAATGTATTATTGGTTTCTTCCAACTCTAATCTTTCTCTCAACAATAAAAGTTTGGTTGGTTTATGTAGTTGTTTATGTTGACTTTTAATTAGTGATTTATTTAAGGTTGTTTATTGCTTTCAGGTCCATGGATGAATGGACTTACATGTAAGGGAAATTGCAGTAACAACCTTTTAGAATATCAAAAATAAAAGGGAAAATTTTATTTTCAACCCCTCTAAATAAGTCTATCTGTAACGACACCCCCTGTCTTTTCTGAAATTTCACTGCACTTCCTTATAGTTTACGTGTTCTCTTCAACCAGACCCTCTACCGTAACCGGTCGTTACTGACCATCAGAAAAGTGTTGATGTCATACCAAAATTTTTATTAAATACAAATTTTACCCTTCTTATTTTCAATGACACCCTTATTTCACCCTTCTCTCTCTCTCTCTCTCTCTCTCTCTCATGCCTCAACAACCCAATCGTTTAGCTGCAAAAACAATGTGGCAATGAACCCAAGCCGCTGGTCTTAGAATGAATCAGTGAAAAATAATGTAAAAAATAAAAAATTTAGTGCCATGAATCGCTAACACAATAAAAAATATTTTTAAAAAATCAGTGACATTGTACGCTTAAACATAATACAAGAAATTTTTTTTAAAAAAAATCGATAACACCGTACTCTTAAACATAATATAAGGAAAAAATTCAAAATAATTTTAAAAACAAAAAAACATTGATGACTTCGTACGCTTAAATATAATATAAGAAAATAATTCAAAATATTTAAAAAAAAAATTGGTGACACCATACACTTAAATATAATAGAAGGGAAAATTTAAAATATTTTTTTTAAAAAAAATCGGTCATATCATACACTTAAACATAATATAAGAAAAAATTTTAAAAAAAAAAATTTAAAAAAAAACCGATGACATTATATGCTTAAACATAATATAAGGAAAAAATTCAAAATAATTTTTTTTTAAATTTAAAAAAAAAATTGTGACACTACACTTAAACATAATATAAGAAAAAAATTCAAAATAATTTTAAAAAAAAATTAAAAAAACTAGTGACATTGTATGCTTAATCATAATATAAGAAAAAAAATCAAAATAATTTTTTAAAAAAATTAAAAAAATTGATGACATCACACGCTTAAACATAATATAAGGAAAAAATTTAAAATATTTTTTTTTTTAATTTTAAAAAAAAAATCGGTAATACCTTATACTTAAACATAATATAAGGAAAAAATTCAAAATAAATTTTTTATATGTGAACTCTACAAAAGAGAATTTTTTGTGACATTTTCCTTGCTTGTACCATTAGTGGATTTATACCAACAAATAATACCACTTGGTAGGTGATATTCATTAAAATCATGTACAAGGGATAAAAGTTATTGTACAAACCGGATTAGTATTATAACTCGAAAAATAATATTGCACATAAAATGCCAACCAAGCAAGGTAATAAGTGGGTAATAACTATTTATATAACTATTAACTCCATGCACAGTAAGAACCAAACAAGATAATAACTATTTATATATAGTTTAATGAAAAATAATTGGTGAATATGTAAATCTTTATAAAATTCATAGGTAAAAAGTAAAAAGTGTGTATTCGTCACGTCTGTTAGCCGACCAACACTGACGAAGAAGGTTAGTGAAATTTCAAAAAAGATAAGGGATGTCGTTGAAGATAGATCTATTTAGAGGGGGTGTAGATAAATTTTTCCAAAATAAAAGGGTACCCCTTCAATTTTCCAAATATATATTTGAAATCTCCCTATCAATTTTTGTTCGACAAAAGTGATAGATTTACTTTAATTGAACGAAAAAAATTAAAAAAAAAAACTAATTTTTTTTTAACTTTATCAAATCATCTATACATGATAGCGCTGATGGTATCTCAAACGAGTATATTTTATGAACCATATGAGACTACAAATATATTTCAAAATCCAAAAAAGTATCCATGTATTTAAAGGTAACTACAAGAAGAGAACAATAGCATACTATACAAGGTTTTGGTAGGGTGAAAAATTAGAAGGTAATTGTATACGAGGCTTTTTTTTCTACAAGGTGTTCAGGATTGCGACAACTATTCTTAAATTCTAAGACCGGCCACCGTAGCTTGATAGCATGCATAATTTTTTTGTTTATAGTTTTAACTTTATTTATGAAGGCAGAAGACATTATTTATATAAAATACTATTTGAATCTAATTTAGAAACCTAATAGAACACAATCATTAAACTAAAAGTATCTAGTGGTGGAGTCATGTTATGGCCCAAGTAGTGTCGGGCTGTGCATTAGGCGATTGCCTAAGGCCCCCAAATAAAAAAAAATGGGTTTTTTGGGTGTGGCCGTGGATATAATTTTTTAAATTTGTTTGAACAAAAGTGTATAGATAAGTTGTTTACTTTATTAAGTATAATTTTTATATAATTTTTTGTGTTTAGGTATAAAATTCAAATGAATTAAAAACATTTTTACCTAAACACCTCTCTTAAATTATGCAGTCATCATTGACAGTTATTTGAGACAACAAATATGCAAAAATTAATAATAGCAATGAAAGGTAAAATAGGGGCATTAATAATCAAAACCCTTCTTCTTCAACAACAGGATTCTATGGCAATGAAATTTGATTAGAATACCACAAATTATATGTGAATAAACATTGAAGTTTCCCTAAAAAAAAAAAAGAATTGGTCAAGATGTTTTATTAGATATTATGTATTGTTCATTGTTGGGATGTAAGGAAAAAAGAACTTCTTTGTTTTTTTTTAATGGGTGTAACTATTTTTTAATGAGTGTAACTATTTTTTTAATTGTTGTTACTGTTTTTTAATAAGTGTAGTTATTTTTTTAATGGGTGTAACTATTTTTTAATGGATGTAACTATTTTTTTAATGGGTATAACAATCACAGTCTTGTACAATTGTTAAGGCGTGATGGTATAATGATGTCGCGATACTAAATGGTGCAACTATATAGTTTATGTAAACAACTGAGTGACAAATTGGATTGGTGTCATAATTTTGTATAATTATTTTGTGTAATTGTGTAGTTTATTAGAACGCATAAGTAACTGTTTGATATATTATAGGACAATTATAACTGATTGATGTAATTGATTAGTGTAATTGTGTTGTTGTAATATTAATATAAATAGAGTAAGAGAAAATAGGGAGAGAGAGAAAAAAAAACTGTTAAAGAAAATATACTCATATTTTACCTCTCATTACTTGATTGTAGCCAAAATATATGGAAGGAATACAAAGGGTTTTAACCCATTAGCTATTTACTGAATGACAATATTGTCATTTTTTAAAAATATGCACTTTAGCTCAAATAAGTTTTTGTGTTGTATTTTTGCTCAAATAAGTCTAAAAAATTATACTAACTTCCAAATCACTCAAAAAAAATTAAGGCTCCAAATTTCCCATATTATTAGACTTAATTTTTGGGTTTAATTTGAGAATTTATTGCATTTTGCCCATTAAATTAATAATAGGCCAAGGGATGCTAATGTGCAGGAAAAGCTTAACGGGTTTTTGGTTAATTTAGAATGGAATGTGAGTCACCCACAAATGCAAGTTTTTCATAAAGCTAAAGTAGGGTCAGACCATTACATATTATCATAAATTTGGAGCCAAGTTTGAAGAAGATGTCATATATCTTTAAATTTGACACATTGTGGATGGGAGATGCTAAATGTGAGGAGATCGTCAAAAGAAGATGAGAAAAAAGGTTAAATAGTTTTGCGATGTCCACTATTATAAAGAGAATAGAAGAGTGTGCAAAGGAACTTAGAAGATGGCGCAAACAGAAGTTTGAAAATTATAGAAAAATTCTTACATAGTTAAATTTTGAATTAATTAATTTGTAGATGAAGGAAGCCTCGGTTGAAAAATTAAGGTGGGAAGCTGAGATTTGTGTTAAGATTGAAAAGATTAGGAGAAGAGAAGAACAATTCTGGAAACAGAGATCAAGAATCATTTAGCTAGAATCTAGAGACCAAAATACGATATTTTTTCATCTTATAACCATATAAAGAAAGCAAAGAAACAAAGTTATGAGATTGAAGACTGAAGACTGAAGATGATATCTGGCTAAAGGATGATGTGGAGCTAATTGATCACATTAAAGAATATTTCTAAAACTTATTCTCAATAGTGGGCCAGAGAGATTTTGAGGAAGTTCTAGCAATTGTGGAGTGCAAAGTGACAAATGAAATGAATCAACATTATGCGGATTCCCAATCAACATTATGTATGCTATGGCTCCGATGAAATGAATCGACAATAGATTCTTCAATCCTCTATTTTGGGGAGATCTAAAAATGAAGTTTTTGATTTCTTCTTGAAAGGGCTCTGAAGAAAATGCAAGGATGAAAGAA